AAGCCGGCCGCCGAAGGCATCGGGCAGCCGGCAGCCAATTAGCGTGCGTTGTAGTATCGATCACGCGTAATGTTTTGCTCCCGCGTGCTCCCGATCGAATAATCGATATTTATTCCCGGGGGCCTCTTGCGCAAACAGCGATCAATCGCTGACCACCGCACCAAGTATCAGAAATTTCTAATAACGTCCGTCAAGATTTTGCACCCGATAGGCTGGCATATTCATTAACCGCCCAGAGATAAGAGAAAAACCCCGTGTTCGCAGACTGTCAAAAAGTACTTATTTCTATTGTCTCTCTTCCTTTTTAACCTACCTGTCGGGAAATAACACGCATCTGAACATCTAATCTTTGCTGAGACTACTTTCACTGTATATTTCTAATCATTATGGGACTGTTTGCATGTACTGTGCATTCAGCCCCATGGCATATCTGGACGCGCGTTACCCGTACCCATCGGTGAATGCAATGCCATCATCAAGTCATTCTCCATTTGCAATTCCCAATAATAATAAAATGATTATGTTACGTGATTTGAACAAAGGTGGTGACCAGAAGAGCTTACGTAATTGTTCTGGAGAAGAATTGCTGAGGGTGTGAGGCAGAACGAAGCGAGAACCATTAGCTTTGACCAGAAACGATCTATATCAGCCAGATAGGTGCGGTAGGCTCCATGAATTCGACAAGTGAATGGCACAAGAGTGTGCTTCATCGACCTTTGACGTTGCCTTAAGGTGACGGAGAAACAAAATAGTGAGCCAAAGTCTTCAGGGCGAAACCGTGGTGTAAACCTTGAAACGCAGATGCCAGAAACGGACAGTAAAAATAGAAGGCAATACCTGAGCTGGTGGAATACTCACATTGTGTCCAGTCTGCAATCCGCACAGTCCAGTATGCTGCAACAACGGCACTCACTGCGACGACCAGAAAAGTTTCCTTGCGGTTTGTCGCAGAGGAGGCAGTCTGTGATAGATTTGGTGCGCTTAAAGGGCTGCAAAATCCAAACATTATAGAAAAGACAGTTATGACATTAGGGCAATGTTTTGGTTATTAAGTGAAACTGACCTAGATGTCAGCTGCGGCGATACATTTCAAATAGCACCAAAAAGAATCACAGAAGAGAATATTAACAGCTGAGGGTCATTGGTCAGCTGAACGCTTTACCAAGTTAGGTTGTGTTTTCTCCCTCCTTTGAGTCTGCTCAAGAGATGTCTGGATAATGAACTTTTAACGGTCTACTCTAACTCCTATCTAGCGGATTACTGACATAACTATAAACATACTTCCTTGTTTTCAAGAGATTATGTTGCTTACGTTACCTTTGACCCTTATTAATAGTTTATAGTGCTACTGCAGTGAACGTGTTCTTCGCTGTTATTTCGCAGAGGCCGCGTCTTTTTTACGATTGTGTTGTATGATTCGTTTTATGCAGCGAATATCACTTGTTTTACGGTAAGTTGGACCCCAGGTAATTTGAAGTATAAGACCTCCTAACCGCTAATTTTTTTCAGGAATATCAAGAAACTAAATAAAGTATATAGTTAAAGTAAGAAAAAAAATGTGCAGGGCCGTCACAGCCAATAAAATATAACGATAGGGATAATGGAGATTTGGGGACAATTCAGGCAGCGATCTTATTCTTTGTTCGAAAATACCAAGGCGCAGTCACTACGTCTGACACTGGGTGCGGGGTCGATGACCAACTAGCATATCGTCGTTGGATCTGCGTACCATGTGCGCCTATTTATGCTTATTCCTCGTGATTAACTTCACTGAGGACAGTGTGCAGAAGGTCACACTAGTGAGAAAATGTCTTCGGTCTGGCTGTCAAGTCAAGCGTAAAGGAGTGCAAAATGTCCATCTTATTCTCTTTCTCTCTCTCTCCCTTCTCTTATTTTGTATCAGCGAACTGTAGCTGAGGTCATCTCCGTATTTTTTCCTGCAGTTCAAATTCGAGTAATCCTGTTGGCAAGAAACAGACGTAAACTGTAGTATTTTTTTCCCGGAAGAAATTTGAACAAGGCGAAGATCACGAGTGGAGCAGAATTTAATGACGTAATAAATTTCGTGACGATCTTATTCAGCTACAGACGGTCGTTGCCTATTATGTGTTTATGAGTTCACATGTAGTTGCGGATGCGAATATAGTGGGCGCACGCAAAGGCAGTTGGCAACGCGGTCAGCTGAACATTTGCCGAAGTGGTTGCTCAGGGCAGAACATAATGTACCCAAGAGTTCAATCACAAAGTGCCTGGTGGGCACTGGCTATACGGTCGACCAAAGGACTCTATTTAAAGTCGTACTCCGGGCGTCTCCTACGTTCTGCGGAGGCCGCTACAATAGGGAGAAGAAAGCCAGAACTCCGTT